CCTCTTCATACCTCTAGTGGTAGTTAGTTTGACTTCCTTTCTGAAGTTGAAAGACTCGAGGAAATTAGAGCTGAAGAAGAGCTAGAGCTTCAGTAGAAGCAGACTGAGGACAACCTAAAGCTGGCCAAGTCACTAGCTGAAAAGGTTCTTCCAAAAAGAAAGTCCAAAAAGAAGGTGAACATTGTCCAAGCCCAAGCTAAGCTACTCTCTCTTGTAGATGTTGAACACGAGAAAAATCTGAAGCTGGCTGAGTGGGACAAGCGCTGTAGTGAAGCAAAGTTGAAAAAGGGAATTAGTCCTCACCCGATCAAGAGCATCAGCATCAGTGGACGATCCAAAGACGGTGGAACTCTTCTCTCAATGCTTATCACCAGGGACAACCTCGATGCCGTTACCGATTACCCTTCCTACCTTAGCCAATGTGAATACAACAAATGGCTAGAGATTAGACAAGCCATTCAACGATTCAAATCCAGACATAAGTCGATTATCAAAGACATCATCAACGATCTCATCAAAAGGATGTTCAGGTATGTCGCAGTCCCTGACAGGCCATCTCTGAAGAAGGTATGAAGGAAGAAAAGACTCTCCAGTCCTAATGATGGACCATCCCAAAAGAACGAACATGAAACAAGGTTCTCCTTAGATGAGGTCATGAAAGAACATGAGAGTATAGACATCTCTATGCTGAATCTTGATCTGCAAGAGAAGGGTCCTTATATTCCCAACTCTTGTGCACTTCAAACCTGAGTTAGAAGTTATATTCCTTGACTATGAAGGTGAAGTAAGATTTCAGAGAATGTCTGAGTTACATCTATGCCCGATGGAACATCTGGTTTATCTCTTGTTCTGTATAAATGATAACTTGCAAGGAAAAGTTGTGGACCTAAGGATACGAAGAGAATTTCTACGTTGAAAGAAGCTTGGAGAAGATGTACCTGGTTATATCTATCTAAATGACTTAAACTAGTTTATTTTTCTTTGTAATATTGTCCACGTATTGTAATCTACTTACTATGTCTACTTTCAGTGATTAATCTTATGTTCTGTAAGTTTTAGACATGTATTGAACAACTTGTAATATTTCCTTTGAAAATAACATAAGTCTTTTTGTGCATTACTAAAAAAGATCCCTGAAAAAAGTAATAGGGACACAAGTCTATGAGTTCCATTGTTACTTTTCACATTCACTAACAATCTATAAGTTAGTGAATAAGCTTTCAGTTTCAGTTTCCATTCTTGTAACTTTTCTTAAATGTAACTTAAGAAAATTCTCCAAGTAAAGACCGACTCACTGAAAAAGATCCCAAAATAGTTAAAAGAGACATGTACTTTATATGTTATTTTTCCTTACTATTATTTGATAAGACAACTTTCTTTATGTTGTCTTGTTATCATCAAATAGGGGGAGATTGTTGATCCTCTCTATCATTTGATTTGATGATAATCCCTTTTACCTTACTTGAAGTATTTATGTTTTTGTTTTCAGTTCCAGCGATCATAACTGAATTTGTTCAGTGATCACTGAACAACTTGTAATGTAAATCCAATCAGCGACAGTGATACTTCAAGAAGACAAAACTCACACCAAAGAACCTTCAGCGAAAGTCGAAAGACTGAAACTGAAGATTAGAGACTGGCGAGTACGTGATCTGAAGTGGTATTCAGTGATTACAACCTTGTCTACATATGTGTGAAGACTGCCCAAGCCTCAGCGAATGCTGAAGAGACCTTCAGGTTATTCTAGCATTCAGCGATCAAAAGAAGCTTGTTGAGCACGGTTGTTTTTGTCTTGTCCTTACACACACAAAGGAAAAACCCATACCCTTTCTAAATGTTAGTACAATACGGAGTCGATTAGTTGACTCTATTGCCCACCAACGTTGTGAAAGGATGTCTGTTCATTAATAGGCTTTTGTACTATTCACTATAGCAAAGGATAAGCCTTCCCCTTAAGGCTTGACATGCATTCTAACCCTACCACATTGTATTAAATGTGCATTTAATGTAATGGGTATAAATAAATGTGTTTTATCTCCATGCAGAGATACTCTCACCCCTAACTCTGAACTTACGTATGCTTAAGTAAAAGAATACACACATCTAAGAACAAATACGCTCATCTTCAAGAGCAAGTTAGAATCTCTTTKTTGTATTCTAAACAAGTTCTTTCATAGATAGAACTTACTTTCTTCTTCATAAATAGAACTTACTTTCTTCTAAGTCTTTAACAACAAATCTTTTCTTTATTTGCTAAGAATTAGTGTGTAACTTTAGATTGTTTAGATAGGTTTTAACTACCTTATCTTTTCGCAAACAATCTTGTAAAATCTATATTGATCCTTTCTTATCAATATATATTTTAAATTTGAAAAGTTTTCTGTGTTTGTATTTATCCTCCGCCCTTCTACAAACTGTTGTACACATCTTATAGATCCTAACGGGACCAACACTTCTGCCTTCACGTTCCTTGGAATGTGAAACTGTTTCTGCGTACGTGTCAGATTCTGAATGGAGACTTGGAGATAAGGCTGGAATCGCTTGTGCGCAAACTAAGGGCGTTGGAGACTCAGAGGCTCTACATGTATAGTGTAGAGGCTATGCGTCTGGAAGGATAGCTCTGTATCAAGTCCTTAAGTTTTTTGACGCTTAAGACTTGATCTTCCTTTATTTGAGCACATGCTCTGCTTGAGAGGTTCTTGCTCTGTCTCTTGGTGACCTTTGCATCAGAGCTCTTGGTTCAGACAACTTCTAAGACTAAGTTCTATTTGACTAGAGTAAGAGGCTTCTTATTTACACTTTTACAAATAAGGTTCTAACACTATAATCAATTGTTTTCTTCAAATATTTAAGTACTTGTTTTATTACTTACCAATGATGACTACTAGGATTATTGGTAAATCTACTCATCTTTCTTATGACAAAAGCAATTTTCTTATGGCTCTGTACCTAGAACTCTGTGGACCCTACGAGGGGTGCTACCCCTAGAACCCAACAAGGGGGCGCGACCCCCTTGACATCCGACATATGTCACCATTCAGTGATCTCGGGGTGTGGTTAGCTTACATGAGTATGGGATCCACATCTCTTAACTCGTGTTATAACTTAACTTACAATCCCACATTCTCTTGTGAATCCAATTATATAAAATTGACCGATGATTTCACTAAAAGCACCAACACTAAGGATGATGTGAGATGAGCAATTAAGGATAGATGACCTCTAATATGAGTTCTTTAAAACTTAATACTAGAGTAGCAAATTAGGGATGCAGATTTGTAGATAGTCTAAACTAGGGAGCTTGAGAGTGAGGGGTATGGTAATGAGCAGGGAGATAGGCTATCAAAGTTCTACAATAGACTAGGGGATGCATGGTTGTCTTAACTTCGATATGTTCAAGTGTACTTAAATTTGATTATATGATAACCTTCTTTTCATATTTATCTCTGCCCTTAATCTTATTTCCTTTCTTCATTTTGTTCATATCTTCGGGTAATTTTTCCGTGCACTTTTTACAAGCAGATGATATTCACAAAACAACTACACTATTCTCTAGAAAAAAGGACAAATACATTTATATTCTTCCATCAAACCCTACATCCAAATGAAATATATTAGATTTTTTCGATTATGTTTTGGTTGAAAGCCCTACATTAAAAAGTTGGTTAAAAACATGCCTTTATGGATATTGTAAAGCGAAATATATTAATTTTGAAGTAATAAGTAGGATATATTGTTCAAAAAGGAAATGTAATTTAATTCAATCAACTTTTAATTAACATATACCTTAAAAAAACACATTTAAAATATCTATTTTAATACCTAACGTGGACACCACAAGCACCTAAAACTTAATGAATTTTTAAAATAACGATAGATATTTTAAAAATATAAGTGGTCAAATAGACATTTAAAAAAAGTAAACATATAAATTTGTATTTTAAAATATATTTTTAATATAAAGCATCTTCAATGGTTTTTTCCCCACTTTTTATTCGATTCGTCAAATTAAGAACTCTACTTTTTATGTACCATATTAACTATTTCAACATCAATAATTATTATATTTAATGTTATAAAATTAAGATAATAATAAAAAAAATTATCACTTCTCACAACTTTATGATAAGAACCAAATTTCTTTTTCAAACACCTGGAAAAAATGAAGTTTTTATAAAAACCTCTTCACAATAATAATTCTTATAAATCACTGTGTTTTTTACTAATAAAAACCTTATGGGAGAGATATTCTATATGTACCTTCTTTTATTTATCTATACTATATTATAAAGTATTTAACAAAATTTTTAAAAATCATTTTTTATGCATGGAGTACTGTATGTTGATGGATATTACTTAAAATTCAAGATTACAAATTAATTGTGTATAAGTACAACTTATTAAGGCTTCATGTTTGAATTCGTATAATTAACTACGGATAAACATAACCAAATAAAGAATAAAATCTCATTTTAAAATATAAAAAATCTAAATACAATTAGAATAATTATTGAGTTCTAACAAAATAATTAATTATTATATTTATAAGAAAATTATATTATTAAACAAAATATAAATTACTTCGTTATTGAACCTAAGTTATATTATAATAAAAAGATTGAATTAAAAAATTACACAAAAAATAAAAAATTTAAATAGTTAATTTGATACTAATATCAATATATTTTTGTCAAATTTTATGATATATTCAAATTTATATTGTATTAAAAAATAATAACATCAACGTTTTTTCAAAATTACATAAGACTATATTATAACATTAACTGAGATAAATATTAAAATGAAGATGTATCTCGTTATATTACGCAAATATCCTTCTAATATAATAATAAGATTATCGATTTAAAAGAGTATGTATGTGTCACTTCAGTTACTTATTATTTATTATATGTATAGATTTATAATAATTACATGGAAGCAATAATCACAGAAGAAAAAAAAACATAAAAACAGTCGGACAAAAAAGTGAAGGTGAATCAGGGAAGAATCTTTTTGAAGAGGAGCCACTGTTGAGAGGGAAGAACCAACTTCAACCTTTTACCCCTAAATCTTTTCTTCGATTTTGATGAAATGTTGCATCAAAAATCCTCTTTTTCCCTCCCCAATTCGAAACCCATTTCCTCCAAACCCTAATTTCTATCGATCGTACGTTTGTACTTTATAGCTATCAACAAATCTGTCAGATCTGTAGCATTCACATTCACATTCACATTTACTACTTTTATACTTTGATTTTCTAAACAGATTTGAGCAGCACCAAGAAAAATGTCTGGGACGCGCAGCGGTAGTTATAGTGGTGGTCTAGTTGATCCCAGCAATCTGCATCTGAAGAAGGAGTTAACTCAAATTAGGAAAGCTGCTCGTGCGTTACGAGATCCTGGTACGACTTCCTCATGGCGGTCTCCGCTTAGTTCATCTAGATCCACCACCGCCGTTCCTGCAGCAGCTGCTTCATCTTTCATCACCACTGCACCCAGCAACCATTATAATCACCATTATAGAAACAGCGGTGGTTACAGTGTAGAAGAACCCACTGAGAATAATACAAAGGACGACGCCAACAACAACAATGTTAATGGTAGCAGTAATAATGATAATAGTAATAGGAGAAAAGAGAAGAAAGTGTTTTTGTATAATTGGAGAACGCAGAGATCGGAGAGTGAGAGGAGCGCTTCCGTCACGGGGCAAACAGATGATAATAGGAGAATGTCAAGGCATCAACAAAGAGGCAATGCCGATGATGGTATTGGTGATGGAGAGGAGAGTGTTGATGATAGCTTGAGCGATGCGCGAAATGACGGGGATACGAAGAGCGATACCTACTGTGCTGCTGCGACGTCATCATCTTCAAAGATGTTTAATACTTGCAAAGATTCAAATAATCTAGCAACTCCCCCAGTTAGGAGGGCATCGTTGATGAAGAAGAAGCCAAAGAAAATGACACATTCATCTGCTGCTTTAAAACATCAACTTCAGAGACGACTAAGTTTAGTTGACCAGTATGATGATGTCAATTCTGAGGATATAGTTGTTAAAGGGTCTTCAGTGACATCCCCTCTGCTGTCTAGGCTCAAGTCGTCGAAATTGTTGGGAGGTAGTGGTAGTAGGAAAGATGATTCATCTTACTGTTATAGCACCCCAGCTTTGTCCACAAGTTCATTTAATAAGTATTGGGTTAGGAATCCAAGCACAGTTGGCTCATGGGATGCGACAACAGGGTCTTTGAATGATGGGGATGAAGGAGTGGATTACCATGATAATGACGACGACCAGTTGGATTTACCGGGTCGCCAGGGATGTGGGATTCCTTGTTACTGGTCTTCCTCCAAGAGGAGTACCCCGAAACGTGGTGGAGTTTGTGGTAGTTGTTATTCACCCTCATTTTCGGATACATTAAGGAGAAAAGGAAGCAGCATCTTGTGTGGGAGCCAAACCATGTATCATAGACACCGTGGATCATCTGTGGGTGCTTGCAACAAGAAGAGGCTTGTCCACACAACTTCCCAGGGTCTTGTTCCACTGTTAACAAATGGTGCTGAAAGCAGAGACCGCTCGTCTGTTGGGACAGATGATGAGCTTTCAACTAACTATGGGGAGCTTGATTTAGAAGCTTTGAGTCGATTGGATGGAAGGAGGTGGTCAACAAGCTACAGGAGTCAAGAAGGATTGGAGCTAGTAGCTGTAAATGGGGAAAGAGAAGGGGATTCGCCTTCATCTCTTGATAATATTAATTGCTTCAGCCACAAGTATAAGCCAATGTTCTTTGAGGATTTGGTTGGCCAGAATGTTGTGGTCCAGTCCCTTGTTAATGCCATCATGAGGGGAAGGATTGCTCCCATCTATCTGTTTCAAGGTACCCGTGGTACTGGGAAAACATCTACTGCTAGGATTTTTGCTGCTGCCTTGAATTGCCTTGCCACCGGAGAAACGAGACCTTGTGGAATTTGCAGGGAATGTGCTGACTATATTACAGGCAAGAGCCAGGTCATTACTGAAATGGATGGCTCCAATAAGAAGGGGATTGATAAAATTAGATATCTGATGAAGAAACTGCAGATGGGTCCTTCTATATCAACCTTTATACAGCACAATGTTTATGTTATTGACGAGTGTCACCTGTTACCATCTAAGTTGTGGTTGGCTTTCCAAAAGTTTCTTGAAGAACCACCTCCGAGTGTCGTTTTCATCTTTATAACTACCGATCTTGACAATGTGCCCCGTGCTGTGCTGTCTCGCTGCCAAAAGTATCTGTTCAGCAAAATTAAGGATAGTGACATAGTTATCAGGTTGAGGAAAATCGCAGAGGAGGAGAATCTGGATGTTGAATCAGGCGCATTTGATTTGATTGCTCTGAATGTAGAGGGTTCACTTCGAGATGCAGAAACCATGTTGGATCAGTTAAGTTTGTTAGGAAAAAGAATCACCACTAATCTAGTGAATGAACTTGTGAGTCTCTATTACCTTGCTGTTCTTAGTTTTCTGAACTTATCAAATATAGTAGTTTTGCTAACTCCCTAGTTTTAAATGTAGTTGATGCTTTAAGGTTTTCAAGCTCCCTTTCTGCTTTTTTGATTCTTTTGGAGTTAATTGTAGGTAGGAGTGGTCTCTGATGAGAAGTTATTGGAACTTTTGGAGTTGGCAATGTCATCAAACACAGCGGAAACAGTGAAAAGAGCAAGAGAATTTATGGATTTGGGGGTTGACCCTATGGTTTTGATGTCTCAAATGGCCACGCTTATTATGGATATCATTGCTGGAACATATCAAGTTGTTGAAGCTGGATATGGTGACTCGTTATTTGATGGTAGAAGCTGTAAGTTCTTCTCAACTTATTCCTGTAGAAAGTGCTATTAATTAGTAATATGGTGCTTTACATGCCTTGGTAGGTTTGTCCACATATACCTTGAGTACTTGACATCGATACTTCGTATTTAATCCTGACCCACTTAACCGAGATATAAGTGCAAACAGACCACAGTTGATGTGCGTCTAGGATAAAAAAACAAATGACATTGCACTTATGGTGTGACAACAACTTGTACGACTATTTCATCAGAGTTTAGTTTACAAGGGCCACGGTTTCACAACTACATGTTGCTCAAATCATAACTACTAAAGCAACTTAAAAAATGATCTTCATGTCACAATCCCAAATACTCGATTGCAGAGAAATTCACCCCATGATTACTTTTTTGTTTTCCTTTGCTAACTATGGCTTTATAGCTAGGGTCTTGGTATAGTGTTTTCTGGAAAGGTTAGAGGACGTATAATGAACAAAAGCCCAACAACAATTGGTAATATGCAAGGGTATTTATTTATGAGTTAACATGTAAAATAGGTCCTTGCTTCCTACCTACATGTTTCATAAAAACTGTAATTCGTACATTGTTCTTTGAAGACCCATATTTGCATGTCTTTGCTTCGGTAATGTGTGCTCAACGGTTTTTTCTACACTATATCGATCTTGCTACCCATGCAAGCTGTGCCGAGCTATATTGTTTCCATTTTAAATATCTTCATTGAATGAGACATGCTTTCTCAGGAAGATACTTATCGTTAGCGACTGACCGCGCTTTTATTATTTATCCATGAAAAGAAAAAATCCTAAAAGATTAGGAAACTATTTAATAAAACCCTAATTATGTAATACTAATAGCCTAATAGGTAGGACCTTTTTTTAATAAAATTCGAATGACCCATATTCCCGTAATAGAACCCTACATAAACAAAGTATAAATAGTGCTTTCACCCACAAAAACCAGCCAAGGCGTAAGTGGCCCATTACATACTTTATTCAGCCATTTAGTAACCTGGATTTGAATCAAGTTGTATTGATGTTGATCTTTATTTGCTCCAAAGCTTGATGTCCTTGTAAGCCTTCACTAGCTGATTTCATCAAGTGTTGTAGATGATTGATTAAGGCTGTTGCAGCTATAGGGATCAAGATATTGTTGTAGCCTAATAGGTCCTTGAGTAAGCTAATCGATTGAAGACTTCTTGATCCTTGCCTTCTTGATCTACATGGTGTATAGTCTGTAACATAACAATGATGCATAATGCCTTAAGGCTAGCATAATCACATAGGCATGATACGCTAAAAGATAGCATAATGTAGACAGACCTAAGAACGGAGATTCCACAGCTCAATTCATGTGGAAGTTACTTTTCCTCTTGAAACTGATGGTGTGGGGCAAATTCACTAAGCTAGGTATCTACATGTTTTCTTTTGCAAGTCTTTTATATAATAGTGATATTATTTCCGAACTATTTACAATCAAATTCAGTTGGTGACATGATTGCTAATATTGAGCTGTAATAACCATGAATGATAAATCCGACATCAATGTGCTTGTGCCTTATAAAGTCCAGTTGGTTTAATTGACATAATTCTGTGTTCAGAATACTTCTTGATTTGCTAAAAGGCGTTCTTTTGAATAAATCACGTTGTATATGTAAACGTGGTGAACATTTAATAAGGGTATGCTCATACTTGTGTACACATGGTATGTGGGTGAAATCACTGGTATGATACTTAACGACGCTATTTAACGTCTAAATAAGATCTGATTTCTGAGGAACACACAGTGGTGGTTCAGAAGGGTAGGCTATACTGCAGTTGATCTATTATCTACGATGCTTGTTATTGATGAAGTATAAGAAATAACCCTTTAGCAGAGTCCTACATTGTTCAAATTGCATCCATTTTTGCTTGGAACATGTGACATAGCACCGTTATTTCATGATGTGGAAGGATGAGTTAGATATTAATGTATGAAATCTTTGAAGCTGCAACCCAAAGGGTGAAGAGGTTGTGAAAGAAATTATATTCTGTGAAACAAAACCTATTTTTCCTCTTTGTTGGTGGTTAAGATTATGTATGTGGGTAACTGCAAGAACTAACCAGAATATGCTACAAGGTATCTCAATGTAAATACAAGGATAGAGCTATGCAAACACAAGAATATGTTGGGTCTTTATACTTGAGCTCCTTTTGAAATCTTTGTCTACTTCGATCTCAAGCTTCTTTTGAGATTATCTTTGACCATGCATGAACTCCTTCCAAGTATAGAAACGTATATGACGGGACTTGAGACTTAGCTGTTCTTGAGGTATGTTATCCAAAGACATTCCCCTGTCCCTATGCAAGACTTAAATTGGAGTTATGGTGGAACCCATTTGACACTCAATGGACTTTCCAGTAAGCATTCTCCACACAAGAATCCACGACTTCCTACAATTCTCTATGGGGCTGTCATGGTATCTAGGAGCATTCTATAAGATTATCTTGAATGTGTGTAGGACTGGAATTTTTCATTGAGGAAGTGAAGACTCCTATATAAAGGACTTGTTTCTTTAGCCATCAAATGATAAAAGAATAGCTATAATATCTTGAAGTTCTTTGTAACATTGTAAAGTTTGCTTATATACTAACCACTGTTTATGGAAAAAATTGCAGCAACAAGTAACCTTGCTTTGACTTGTTCACTAGATAAGATTTAATGATGATGTATATGTTTGATCACTGTCATACAATTGTAGAATAGAAAAGAAATTAAACTGGCCAATTGTATATATCTACTCTGCTAATTGTTACTATTAACATTCTCCAGTGACAGAAGCTGAACTGGAGAGATTAAAGCATGCTTTGAAACTTCTTTCTGAGGCTGAGAAACAGTTGAGACTTTCCAGTGAAAGATCAACATGGTTCACAGCCACCCTTTTACAGCTTGGCTCTGCCCCATCGGCAGATCCTACTCCTTCAGGAAGCAGTAGAAGACAGAGTTCGAGAACGACTGATGATGATCCATCTGCTACTTTCAAAGATATATATTTCCAGAAACAGAGGTCTGATTCTCACTATTCACCCCAAAAGTCTGCTTCTAAGCCTATTTACAGAAATTCAACCAGCCCAGAAGAAGTGCTCTTACCAAAGAGGCAATTGATAAATGGGGACGGACCATCTGCCTCAAATGGTGATGTTGTAGTTGGAAATACTATTCCAAGACACAGTAACTCAAGTATATTGGATGATATCTGGGTCCGTTGCATTGATAAGTGCCATTCTAAAACACTGAGGCAGCTGTTACATACTTACGGAAATCTTGTATCTATTTCTGAAGATAAAGGTAAATGATGTTTTCATGTGCTTTAGTTTATATGTACACTTCATGTTTATCCTTGCTATTAGTTGTGAATAGTTTAGCTTTCACTAGATGAATATGTGTATAACTAGTAAATAAGATGGATATACCAACCTCCCCACAGGCAAGGACAACACAAAAATTACATAATATTGACTAGAGGAGAAGCAGAGATCCCCCTAAACTATGCTTCTTACTTCCAATTAAACAAAAAAACACAAATCATTACTTGTATTGATAAACTACTAATTTATGTCCTTACCTGGTGGAACCTATCAGTTTATATTTAGATCCTAAAGCTTTAATTATGTCATGAAATAAAAAGCCTAAAATTATGTTTTTAACCTACCTATTTTCACTAATACTAATACTACCATCAGCATCTAGCAACTCAATTACCAAGATGTTTAATGCAGTTTTAACAAAATTAAAAAGATTTTGCGCTTTACATGCCAATATCTGAGTTATGAAAATTTTATCATTTAAGCTGCTTAATTCTACTTGAGCCTAATATATTCAGCTTGCAGGCACGCTTGTTGCTTATATCGTCTTTCAGAATAGTGATATCAAGAGCAGAGCTGAAAGGTTCCTTAGCAGCATCACAAACTCATTTGAGATTGTTCTCTGTCGCAATATAGAGGTTAGAATTATATTCCTGTCAGATGATGGGACTGCACCAAATAGTGTTTTGGCTCAGAAGCAGATTGATTCACTTCAAGAACCAATAAAGGCATCAGGAGGAAGCTTTCATGATGCTGGAAGCAAGTCTAGTGGTGTGTTGGCAGAAGGGGATGGTGGTACAAAAGGGAGAAAGAGCGGGAATCCGGTTCAAAGAATAGAATCAATCATACATGAACAGAGGTTAGAAACTGCATGGTTACAAACTGCAGAAAAAGGCACCCCTGGATCATTGAATCGTTTGAAACCCGAGAGGAATCAAGTCTTGCCTCAAGATGGAAGTGATCATCATCAGCGTCAAATGGTATCAAATGATCCCTCATCACAGCAGCAATGGGAAGATGAATTGACCCGTGAACTCAACCTTTTGAAGATCAATGACGGGAAGACCCTTTCGAGGGAACATAAGTATCCGATATCACCAAGCTTGTTGCATGATAGCAATTTAGTTGGCAAGTACAACAAAGAAAGCATGTGAGTGGTCAAGAAACTGTCCTCTTTTTTTCTTTTTCTTGATCAAACTGATACGGATATCCAGGTAGTAATTGCTAAATGGACTTGGGTAGAACTCAATCCCAAAAGCTAAGGTTAAAAGGAGGGTGGTGCCCAAAACCACATATATACATAAACCAATCTTGACAACCTGGATATGCGGGACAAGTACTACTTGAATATTCATAGATTCCTATAACTTTTGTGATTTTCTTTATACAGGGGATACGAGTCTGGCTCAGGAGGCGGTGGTTGTTTATGTTGGAACAAAAGCAAGCATAACCGGAGGGGGAAGGTAAATATCCGGAAACCCTTTGGGCAATAAAAGAAATCTTGAAAATATGAGTAGAAACCATGTCTGTTTGTAATCAGTAAACATCCATATATTTTGAACAGATCAAGCCTGGAACCCCGGTTGGACCACGTAGAAGTGCAAGATTTTTATTGTTCGGGGAGTGTGGAAAATCAGGAAGGACAGATCAGAGATCTAGAAGGTGAAAATATTGATTCATATTCAGAATATTTCCTAATTTATTGCTCTACTAGTTTATGGGTATGGGTTTGAAGAGGAGTTACATGTAAAGTTTTCACAACTGGGATTTCTGCATTTGTCCAATTTTTTTTTTTCTGGGAGCAGCAATAAAGGTGAAGAAAAGGGACCATTCTTTCTTCCCTTCCCTTTCAACTTACACAATTGCTGGCATTTTGATGATTTTTATTGGTGATTTGTTTATGAGAAAATGAGTCTGTTAGATCCCAATCATTGTACTAAAATACATTAAAATACAACAAACTTTCGTTTAGTTGTTGTGTATCAAACACATTTTTCTTAATTGACGTAACAAAGTTTCAAAAGTTCATATTTTGTATCCAAAGTTTCAAAAGTTTGTATTTTGTACCCATCTCGACAGTTAACCTACTTATCATGTAATAATTGATGACGTGGATGTTCGATTACAAAAGTTCTACGAAAGGTTTACGGTGAAGGAGACATGTTACAAAAATGAGCCCTTCTAATGAAATCAAAAAGATTTCGTTAACCCAGTTAAATTCAAGACTATTATAGTTTTTTTTTACTTATTTTCATTTTTAATTAAAAAAATAAAATAATATTTATCTATATATTACAGGGACGGAAAATGTAAATATGTGTATATATATATATATATATATATATATATATATATATAGGGGCCTATTCAAGGGAGAACTGAATTGTTTGTGGTAACTGTGAGAACCAATCTCAACCAATCATTTTAATATATTAATTATACAATTAAAATCAAATTAAAGGGTATGTTAGTCAATTCCTAATATAAATTTAAATTTAAAATTTTTAAATGCAACCGTTTCAAATAAAATAAATTAATCTTGATTTACATTCCTAAAATAAAATATTAATATGATTTAGTAAAATAATTTAAAAAATAATAATCCGTTTATGTAATCATGTTCATGATTCTGATGGATCACATGAAATCACACATATTTTTTGATGTGCAAACTTGTGATACATTATTAAATGGTCCTTGTATATGTTTGAATCAATGTTTTCAGAATACTTCTTACTGTCCACTCTGTATTGGTTTTATCTTCTTGTTTTGATTCTGGAAATCTTTAATATCTACAATTATGTGTATCTTCTTGTGGTACTGTGTATATAAAGACAGCATATACATGTGCAAACTTGTGGTATATTAATAAATGGTAAATTTATATGTTTGAATTCATGTTTACAACTATTGATCAAGCAGAACAGGGCTTATCAATATCACCAGGTGGTACTAATTGAATACTCAAGTTCCATCTCTCTATGTTAAGATTGTCTAGCAAAACAAAACCTCAGCAGGTAGCACAAATTGAAGACAAAT